AATTAATAGTTAGTGAAGGAGATGTGGAATATCGGGTAGTATGGTCGTTAGGAGACGATGTAGGAGAAGCAGACATCTAATTAATAGTTAGTGAAGGAGATGTGGAATATCGGGTAGTATGGTCGTTAGGAGACGATGTAGGAGAAGCAGACATCTAATCAGTAGTTAGTGAAGGAGAGAAAGTTGGATAGTTAGTCCTTTTTTTATTCTTCACAACATTTTTAGTTTCAGATTGTTTTCAGTTTTGTGAATGATAGGTTCAGAATTGATTACGAAGGTTTACTACATGTGAATCCCACGTTTTCTATTTAATACAGAAGACGAGTGTAGTCAACTAATCCATGGGCAGGTTATTTAAGTCAAATTCCTGGTATTGTGTTAGTAGCTATCTTTAAACATTTGTTGTAAACTTCACTATGTAATAGCCTTCAGAGGTTTAGATTACGATAATGTGCAGTCAGTTGAAGGTTAAACAAAATGGTGGGAATCAAGTCATTTCCAACAGTGCAAGAATTAGATTTCTCTGTGTTGACAATGGTTTTCTGAAGTAGGTCAGTCTTTGTTGAATGTATATAAAGAACAGCAGAAACGTCGGTGCTCATAAAAACTCAGAAAATAAAATGACATAATATGATTTCTTTAATCAATTTCTAGGGAGGAACACCAACAGGAAATAGCAGACAGTTAGCTCCAGATACGTATCCAGTACAACAACCAGCATCTGCTAGACCTCTTTCACCACCTGTTCCTGCATCGACACCTCTCATGTAAGCTTTGGTGTGGTATTTCAGTCTTAGAAATTGGTTGTTCAATAGTTTTAGTGAACTGTATACAGTCAGATATTTCATTTGTACTTATAATGTTGGATATACCGTGACCTTTTCCTCCAACACCTAAAAAAAAATTAACGATAGCCTTCTAGTTGCCATATGTACTGGGTTTTAAAAAAATCTCACCAGAAAAGTTCACAGGGAAAAAAAATTATAAAGTTAAAAGGTATGACTTTTTTTTTTCAGGCTGAAACTAAAAACCATTTAGCAAGTTTGTTTTAAGTTTCAGGCAGGAAACTTCAAGGGGTATCATTGACACCCCTTCTAGTCCAGAAGGAGTTAAAAGCGTATTTCACAATATGTGGTGTTTTGTCCTGAGATTGAAAATATATTTTTGTTGTCTTGTCAAGGGAATGTTCTTATGAAGAGGACAACATTAGTTAACTCTGTAAAGAGTATATATATATAGTTCGCTTTACCTGTGCAGTTGACCTTTCAGTATAAATATAAGCTTCTGGGAGGGAAAATTACCTCTGAAATATACCCCTTGTTCTCGTGACTAGAAGAAAGTTAAGGTTCTTTTGTTTGTCATTTCCGTGTATCATTTAATTTGTTGGCCCGAACAAGTTTAGTTGAAATATGGGTATAAAAAATAAAGTTGAAATAATCCTGCTTTGGAAGTTTTGTTTTTCTTTGTTGTTGCAGAAGTTTGACCTAAATGATATACAATATCTTGTGTTCCGATCTTGTATTGTTTAATATTAGTGATTGATCTATTGATGTCATGTAAAATAATTACTTAATTGAAGCTATGAATAAATCGATTAATGCCACACAAACAGTCGATCAATCAAAATTAATTTCTATTATTACTGTCTTTGATTATTTGAACTGTTCAGGTTTGGTAGGAGAATTATCGATTAGTTGGCTGTGGTCACTTAATGCACGAGATGATTAACTGATTCCATTAATCACCCAGTCATAGTTAGAACGACTGATGTATTTAGGTTATATTTGATTTACTTCAAGTTCAATATTTTAACCTGATAGATTTATCGCCATCATGCTTCTCGATGTGATTTCTAAACGACAAAACGGATGTTTTTGTCATCTGTGTTGTCGTGTACGACATGCGTCTGTGATTAAATCCGTTGTGTGTATTGAAGAAGTGTTTTCTTTTTTTTAAATGGAACTATCATTCCCTCACATATTTTCATCTTTATTTCTAGAGATGAGAAGCAAGAAGAGAAGATAGCACCAAAAGACACTCAACCATTGTGAACACATTTTTTTTCTTTCTTTTTTTTACTTGTTTAATCTCTCAGTATTGAACGTGACTTTCTTCGATCCAGGTGTTCAACAGTATGGTGGGTGTGTATGTATGTTAACAGTGTATGCACAAACGTTTCATTTGTCCTGTTTTAAAATACATGAATTCAATGGTACTTGGGTAAAGCAAAGATGTTTTATTTGTACAGTACAATGATTCCATCTTCAGAATTAGCTACGTTGTTGCATCACACTCGTTTGTTTTAATATAATTAATGGTCTTTAATTTAAAATGGGGCTATCTACAGCAGTCATCATGATGATAGCAAATTAAAATATGGTATGGGAATCATTTTGAGATAAACCGTACAACAATGGAATTATGATATTGATTCGGTGCTAACAGTTAGAATCAGAAAAGTCATAAGTCTGATAATAAAAAAAAAATGCTAGTTGATTTTGTAGTAGTAGTAGTCATTAGATACATGTTGTGTAAAGCAAGGTTTTTCTACCATTCAGTATAGGTTCATGACTGATGGCAAATGTAGAAACAGTAAATGTACTTGTGGATTTAAAATCTTCATCTCAGAGGTTTAAAATTGTTTATTAATAAGTGAATTTGTTATTCTTTGAAGTGTTTCAAAATATAATCCAGCTACTAGTTTTCTTAAAAGTGATGCTTGTCAGGTGTAGTCCTGACTGTATTAACCTTTAAGTAATCTCAGAATTTGTTCATGATCGTTGAAGTCTTACAAAATGAAAGCAAAAAAAACATTTTCAGTCAATATTAAAGTTCAACTATCTAACATTAAGTTAGGTTTAAATGAGGAAAACAAACTGTCGAACTTAGCCTCAAATCTCTCTGTTCGAAGCATATTAGACATTAAGTGTATATGGTCTCGTGGAAGAGTCGTTACTTTATTAGATGTGTATTAATTTCTTCCTGTATGTTGCCTTATGTAAAATATTTGGGCAACATGTGGCGTAGTGCTGAGCTGTCCATGCTTCATGTTCCATTACTGCCAGAAAAAGGGATAAAGTTACACTTCACATTTTGGGGCCATGGGTGTAATAATATAAGATAAATGATCAGATCTTACTTCTTAAATTGTAGCCCAAGAGTTGGCAGTGGGTGCTGTTAACTAGCTGTCTTTTTTCCCATCTATCAGTGTAAAAATTAGTGATGGCCAACGCAGATAACTCTTGTGTAGCTTTGCGTGCGTGTTGCTTTGTGCGAGACCGCTTTGTGGTTTGATGGCTTTACGGAGTAAGTGCTTTGTGAATATTTGATAATTTAGTGTCCCTAGTTTGACTTTAGTTCACATTTTGCTTAAACAAATAACTATATATTTGTAAAGGTCGATAGAATATATTTCACTGTGTTCTTCACTGACAATATTTACCGTTTCTTGTGTTATGATTCTGGAATGATACATCCAATGACAGAGGCAGCTTTTGCAAATTTGGCTAGGATATATTTCACGTGTCTCTTTTAAATCCCAATAAGTATTGTTTTTTGTGGCAGAATGTGGATGTTTATTATTATTATTATTAAAAATATAATAATATCAGAAATTGAACATGGACTTTTTCAGCACTTAAAGTCATCTGTTGAGTTGTACCATTTAGCTCTAAACAACAGCAGCATTTTTCTTAACTCTTTTTCTGTGAAACCAAGATAGAATTTGTTTAGAAGTTGAACACAGTATTCCATGCTCACAGAAAGTTAACATTAACCTAATAAACACCATTGTTTCATGCATGTTGCCCTTAAAACCAGTTGTTTGTAACAAGTGTGTTATTAGTTAAGTTTTGTTCGTGTATGGATTCATGTTGAGAAAGTTGATTGCACATTAATTACATCTAAGAATTTTGTGTACTCGCAGAGTTCTACCATATATACTAGAGAGCCAACTGTAAGCATGCCGATATACAGACCAATCGTGGACGCTGTTGTCTCGCAACTTGTGTCAATAATGTGTCACGTAACACAGTGATAGAGTAGTGTATAGGTAATGGTTGTAATGAGTATGAATGTTGAAATAACTTGTAAAATACTTTGGACAGGAAAGGCCTAAAACTGTAGTTTTAATATCATTCATAACTTTGGTTGTAACAACAGACATAATGAAAATACATAGTACAAGCTGTCATTTTTACATGATAATTCTATTTGTGTAATATTAAGAGCCTGAATTATAATTCTTGAAGAAAGACTGATCTAAGAAGGAAATAAAATAAGGTTACCAGTTTAAGTACTTTACAAGTTCTTTCAAAACGTACATTCATAACACAACTATTATTGTTATGATAAATGCCATCACATGCATAATATAGTTGTATACACATATTTTACCAAACAACAGTACGGTGATCATCTGTTCTTGATTACATTCACACCATATGATCATGGTTAGTTCTATAGTTGTAAGTACTGTGAATGTACCATGTTAGGCTTAAACAATTGCTGTTAGGCTTAACTAACGTGCAAGTTTTAAATCATTAAATACTGTAATACTAATTGTACGATCATTGTTCAGTGATCTCCTTAACATATTTTGTTTATTAGATTCAGGGTTCCTAGAATGTTCAAAATAATTTGAATTTTTTTTTTTTTAAGTCGGTAACTATCGTAAAACACAATTGTAAATATTCTTCGCGTTCGTCCTTGGAGAGTGCCATGTTTGTTTAAGTCTGAAACGGAAAGAGCATGGTATTCTAAATATTGATTCCTGACATTTAGTACATGTTGTACATAGCGTAGTGAAAGAAGTCAATCATTATTAATGATTTATTATGATTAACACCAAAGCTTTGAAGTATTGCCCTAACTAAAATATTAATCTATATAGTCTCTAAGTGTGCTATTGTCATAAAATAGGTAGTTTTGTCGTTAGAAGCTTATTGTTTATCAGGTATTATAGGTGGATTATCTAGCAATATTTTATACATATATACCCTCTTGAAATATTTGGTTAGCTTCTATGTTCTCTGTACGTCTTCTTGTGTATACTTGTTCGTGCTTCCAGCCTACAAACGTTTTAGAAAAGAAACCGGAATGAAAGTAGTTATAAAGTGTGACTTTTGTAGTGTTTACCTTTACAGAATGTTTTTTTAGTTGAAGGGTTAGAAACGGTGCCAGTTAGTAGCATATTTTCAATTTTTTAAAACAAACCTGGAAATATACTGTTAATATCGGCATAAAAAAAATGGCTTTTGTTTTATAATCCAAGTTGGAGAGATAAAAACTATTGTTTTATAATCCAGGTTGGAGAGAAGATAAAAACTATTGTTTTATAATCCAGGTTGGAGTTATTTTTTTGCTAATGTCTAAATAATCTTTTGAAAAGTGAATTTTTTTAAAAATAAACAAATTCGATTATCAGTTCACTGTTTTTGAAGGAGGACAGATGATGTGTGTATAAATACCATATACATTGTGTCTGTGTATATTTGATAAAGTCATCCAATTGGATGTATGAACATTGTAAATCTTTCGGAGCTGAAAATGTTTATAATATTCAGTTACTTGTGTGACCTGGTTAATTATGTTTATCATGGTTAAATGATTAAACAATAATCATAGTTAAGATATGAGATTAAAGATATACATATGGTTTAAAGATGACATTAATTAAGATATGAGATTAAAGATATACGTATGGTTTAAAGATGACATTAATTAAGATATGAGATTAAAGATATACATATGGTTTAAAGATGACATTAATTAAGATATGAGATTAAAGATATACGTATGGTTTAAAGATGACATTAATTAAGATATGAGATTAAAGATATACGTATGGTTTAAAGATGACATTAATTAAGATATGAGATTAAAGATATACGTATGGTTTAAAGATGACATTAATTGCACACTTAAATAAGCTTTTGGTTGAGATTTGTTAAAAGGTATTCATTATAAAGTTTCTTCATTGTCACCACTCCTCCAGACCAAAGTAAGAATTATCTTCCTCTGTAAAATGTCACTCACTGGATCTTGATTTGTATTAAGAACCAGTAACGAAGGTAAGTAGCATGAAACCAGAAATGTTCTTCTGAATCTTCTAACGTGTTTTGAACTTTCATGGCTATTTATGTAAGTATTTAATCTTATCTCAAAATATTTCTGTTCGGATAAATGAAACCATATAGATATTAGCTTGTAATTTTCTTTATAAAGTGTTAATTCGAAAATAGTGGAGCTTTTTTTATCATAGGTGGCTCTGCATTACATGTAACTAAGATTCTTTTGGTGTTGCACCATTCCTATGAATATTTTGTTTTTATTTGTGAAGAAGTCAAAACTGAGACTGAATGATACGAATATTAAGCCGATTGGCTGCTGCTGCGCCCCCCAGTGGCACAGCGGCATTTCTGCGGACTTGTAACGCTACAAACAATCAAACAAATTGGCTTTTGCGACTCAAACTGTAGATTGTTTTAGTTTTCACCGAAGTGCTTATTAAAGGTAGTCATCTTTAGAGAAATTGGTGACTGGTACTTACTGGTTTCTAAAGACACCATAAGTAGCATAATATAACTTCTTTCAGAGCTTTTTGGCCCATAACTTTATTTAAAATAATATTTTTTTTTATAAGTGTTTGCTATGTTACCAGTTTTTACCGACAGAGAGAGAAGAAAACCATTCTTTTTTTAAAAGATCTAGACATGCATAATAATAGTTTGAAGATACTGTTCTTATGAGACTTTTTTTTTATCACTGCTGGAATATTTATTTTCTTTTTTCGTGGTTTTTGCTATAACTTGCCAAGATTTTCACCATAGTGTCTTCAGCTTCCATCATTTCTGACACAATTTTATACAGGAGAAATTGTCTGTCACGTGATAGGCACACTGTATTTGTTTTTCTGGTACACGTGACTGTTTTAATAAGTGTTTTATTTTGTAAGAACTACGTAAAGAGATTGGACGTTAAATAAACTGTCTTTTTGTTTGAATTGAAAGACGTGTGTGTAACGTGGCTTCTAATATAGCCTAATTCCACAATCGCATCTTCCTGATTCTTCGAGAGATGATATACCAAATGACCAAAAATCTTCTTCATTATAATGGTTGGAGACGGCTTGAATGGGTAATGAAGAAAAACTTTAATATAAGTTTAACATAACAGCAAATGTA